TATGTCTATATGTTCTTTTTATAGATACAAGTATTTAAGTAAACGCCCTGTTTATAATAAGCAGTATTAACGACATTTACCGGCCTGAATGTCCGAGAAATTTTCTTAGAAAATATGCGTCCTCCGACAGGAATCGAACCTGTATCTTATACGGAACCGTCATATAGCCTGACGTGCCTTAACCTATTGAGCCACAGATGAGCGTTTCGGTTAGCAAGTTCGATTTTACTGTTTTTAAACTACAATTCTCCATGATTTTCTCTCATACATTCATGTCTGGTGGATGCGTATCCAAATGTAAACAAACGACGTCACATATTATATATAATTGTCATTTTAATTGTCGGACTTTGTCCATTTCATAATGTGTGACATTCACTTAAGTAAATGATTAAACAAGAATTTTTGCTTGGGGCTTTTTTAGATAGTGAACTAATAAAACTGTGACTGCTAAAACATCAATCAAGATTCTACCCCCTTGTGCAAATTAATTGAAACAAAACGAATAATTCCGGTATTATTTACTTTTTTTCGTATTTTCCCAATGAAACATGGCCCAGTGAATATGTTAGTACTTCGTATGTCCATTCCACAAAGTCGTTTCTTGCAGATTGACCACAGATTCTGGATTGGATTTAAATCAGGAAAGTTTCCAGGCCAGTCAATATATGTTTTAGTCACCTTGATATATTTTGAGGCCAGCTCCCAAAGTACTTATAAGGGGTGGAGGGTGGGTGGCTTAGCCCCCCTAAAAATTTAAACAACATAACCATTGAATAGATTCTTATGAAATTTGAAAGAGATTCTATGTATGACACCTAATGACATATATATATAACTTATTGTTTTTAAGAAAGTGGAAGTTCCATCGGTGTACAAATCCCCGCCTCAAAAAATTGTCTCCATAAATTTAAGTGAAATTCAAACCATACCATCTTTTTACATTCATTTCATTTTTGCATCCAAACATTTGACTGAAACCGCAAATTTAGTTTCCTATAACCTTCACAATAACTACTATTTCAATCTTATATAATGATCCAATTAATATGAATCCATAAATTTTCTCTCTTTTTAACTTAGGGGGCATCACTATAAAAATAACTACAATTTCATTAATATGACACTTTACAATTTATTTGAATTCTTGATAAAGTTGTTTATCCTATAATGACCAAACCGAAACAGCTCTATATCTTTCAGATTTCTGTTCTGCCAGCTGACTATTGCAAATAATAATTAGGCTACAACCTTACTACAATGCCTTCCAAAAAGTTGCTTTTTGGATCACCTAAGCAATCCAAGCGGAGGAAAAGTGAAAAAGTAGAAGAAAGAGAAAATCAGCTGAGCAAGAGGCGAGAAAACGCAGAAATGTATGCAGCTTCATGGACGTCACAAAGTCAAGAAGAAGCGGATCTAAGACGAAGATTAGATTTTATTTCAAAAAGAAAAAAACTTCTCAAAATCTGAACAAATGACTAAACATTAGAATTTTATATCTTAGAAGGGTTTATTGGTCGTATATATACGACCAAAAAAATACATGTATTACTTCAAACATTACTTTTAGTTGATATTCGTAGTTGCGAAGAATTTAGTTTATTTTAAAATTAAACTTACAAATTTTCTCAAGTATGCGGACCGCTAGAGGAAATAAATAATGTTTAAAATCAACGGAATGTCTACTCAAATACGGGTATTCACTAAAATAACGTTTGAATTAATAAAAAAAAATATGTGGGATTAAAATCAAAATCCATTAATTCTTTAGAAATATAATATATATATATATATATATATATATATATATATATATATAAAAGAAGAGAAGAGAAGTGCCGCAAACGTTTTTGGTTGTAATGTGTTTTTTATTAGAAAAAATATTATGCTTTATTTTCCATACTTTTACTACACGTGTTTCTGGTCTCGCGACCGTCTTCATGTAAAAGCGGAGATTTCCACATATTATTAAAAATAATTAATTTTTTCCTTATGTTTTTCAATGTTAAATATTCTCGATATGAGACATTCTCTGTTTTTGTGTTAGTAATCTGAATGTCTTTTTTGAATTTTTACAAGACCAGAAACACGTGTAGTAAAATTATGGAAAATAAAGCATAATATTTTTTCTAAAAAAAACACATGACAACCAAAAAAACGTTTGCGGCACCTCTCTTTTCTTTTTTAATATACATACTTTTCTCTCGTTGGAACCACGACAACCTCTTTTCTTTATATATATATATATATATATATATATATATATATATATATATATATATATATATATATATATATATATATGATATCAATTGATAATTAGTAGTAATTGAATATTTTGTTCTGCGGCATATCAACCTCTAAGGATTATTTAATGCCGACATCTAAATAATTTGTACATAATTGTATACTTTCACGTTAAAAACGGAGGTTTTTCAATATATAGTTTGTAGATCATAACATTTATTGCTGGCAATTTCACTAAGAAAATATATTGTCGGTAATTTTTTTTACAAAAAATGCATTGCTTGTATTATTATACTTGTTTCAGTGTTTTATAGATTGTCATTTTGCAATAAAAATGTATTATTGGTCACTTTACAATAAAAACGACCTCTTGATGTTTTTCGGGGACGGTGGTATTAACAATTTACTCAAATTTGAACCTGACCAGGTGCTACCACCCCAGGTCAGAGTGGACCTGGGAACAACAGCAGTTATGAGGTGGTTCCACGCTCCTCAAAACCTCCCGATCAGAGGCCTTGCTGCCGGATGTAGTTTATCGTCATACCCAGGACGAGTGCGTACAAGTCTCTTCTTTTCTGGACATAAAGAGTGCAAAAATTATCCAAAAGTTTGTTGATTCCGAGCGCTTTCGGCTAAATTGTCAGCTATTTTCAAGGATTTTTATTGTACTACTATAATCATCGTTTGTTATTGTAGTATAACTACGATGTAAATATCTGATTCAATAAAATCATTAAAAAAGTCATATAGTTGTGTTCATAGCTTCATGGCAATATTTATATGTGCCGAGCCCTTTGGGCGTGGGTGATTATATCTCTACACAATTTCTGTTTCTTTATTCTCTGAGAATTGTCATGACTTTCCCAAGTGAATTCGCTTCCAGATGTCTTTAACACGGTTTTGAATTCAGAGTATCCCAGACTGACTGCTTAAGGTTTTCTAGCCTAGACTACCTTGATATTTAACCCATAGTTAGTGGGAGATGGACTGATAATTTTCCCATGTTCTGTTGTGCAACAAAAGCGACTACGCTACTGCCTTGGTCGGAATTTGAACTCGGCTCACCGATTCCATTTTTCGCGTCGATAACCGTTATCCGGTCATCTCATTAGAAAATATTTGCTCAAATATAAAATTAATGATAATACACCATTTTACTGTTTAACTAGCTAAATGCAACCATATCTGCTATTCTAACATTTTCTCCACTCCCCCCCATTTCATGCCTGTGGAACTCCCTTTTGAATTATTGCTTCCCTGCCACCTCCAATCTTCAAAAATTTAAATGCAACGCCAATCGCCATTTTCTGTCTTTCTTAATTCTTGTTCTTTTATTGTCCTTTCTCCTCACTAAAGTCTTCTCATTCTTTTTCACCCCACCCTATTAACCCCTTGCATCCATTATTGGCTTGCTTGGGATGAAATGATTAAATACTTATATTACTGTTACTAATACCGTTAGTAAAAATAATGACGACCTTGGCGCTGAGCGATCGGGGAATGAATGGTAGGTTTAAAATCCTAGATTTGATCTTCTGTCAACAGAAAGACTTCTTGGTCAAGTGTTAGTGAGGCCGTTACAATTATTATATGTGCAATTGCTCTATTATTCAGTAACGCCAGCGTCAATTCCTGGCCTCTGAAATTGCTTTTTCTGATTGTCAATGAATCTATAACAATGATTTTCGGTTGCAATACATTTCAACAGTAAAATAAATTGTATTTATTTTTAGTGGAAAATCAGTCGCAACACAAGCATATATGTTTAAATTTTTCTTAATTATCTGGAATAAAACATATGTTGATCATATAAGGCATGCAACTGACAGCCCCGATACAGTGATGATTTCTATGTATACTATATATCTATATATGTGTGTGTGTATGTGAGAGAGAGAGAAAGAAAGAGAGACTAAAGTTCGATGACAAATGGTAAATATATACAATTTAGAAAATTTTTACTTTGAGATGTACCTTCAATGAACTGGCGTCATTAAAATAATTATTTTACAAGAAAACATTTTCTAAATTGTCGTTTATATACAAGAAAAAAAATCTACATCAGCGAGACAAAACGTGATTCACGCTAAATCCCCAAAATCTTGATTCCTACTTTAATTGTATCGTTATAGAAATTCAATTTTTACTAATTTAAACTACGTATATTTATGTTTGGTATGTGTGTGTGTGTGTGAGAGAGAGAGAGAGAGAGGGAGAGAGAGAGAGAGGGAGAGAGAGAAAGAGACAAAGAGAATAAAGTTGGATGGCAATACGAACTATTGGTAAATATATACAATTTAGAATTTTTTACTTTCACAGGTATCGTCATTAAACCTGCCTTATCAAAAAACAATTTTTATTTCACAAGGAAAAAAAATCTACATTAGCGAAAGAAAACGTGATTTACATTAAATATTAGCTTTTTATCTTAACTACATCGTTATAGAAATTAGATTGTTACTAATTTCAACGTGGTGTGTCTGTGTGTGTGCGTGTGCGAATGCGCACGCGCGTGTGTGTGCGTGTGTGTCATTGTATGTATATCAAACAACATTTCTCATTTCTTACCTTTCCAGTGTTCTTCTAGCTTGTGTCCATCCGTGCGTGGCGCATGTAAACTGCCGAGAATGACAACGAAAGCGACCAGGACGTAAATTGCGAATACAGACGAAGTCCTACGGGTCTCCGAAAATATTGTACATTGCTGGGATAGCGTCCAGCTTGGCGTTCCCAACCATCTTAAAATTTCTGGCATGATTCCGTTGGGCACCACAAACAGTGACAAAAGTAAGAACAGTCACTGTAACTCCGTTATGCAGCTATCCACATGGATTTCTTTGCTGGTCCATAGAAGGACCATGACATTCCACAACAGACAACTATTTTTCACATTTGTCACATCTTCATTAAAAATTTGGCACAGGGGTATATAATATTACTAATAATTTTTAAATACAATATTTGAGAAACGGATTATTAAAATAATATTCCCCAGGACTTGGATTCATGCATATTTCCATAGAAAGCGGATGTTTCAGTATTCATATATCGACATTTAAATCACCGAAGAATAATTATTGATTTAGTTTCATTATGTTTTGAATGAACTAAAATTCGTACAAACCACGACTTGTGTAAATAAATTATTTAAAGTATTCGCTTCTTAAAATCAAAATAAACTTTCTAGAAATTAATGAATGGCGAAATTAGAAATCTAAGCGTTAACATAGAATTTTTTTTAAAAGAATTGAAACACTGTAAGTTATTCCTTTAAAATTCACATAACCGCTGAAAAGAGATTTGTTAATAAAACTCCCATGTTGTAATTTTCTTTCTGCTTTGTTCATATATTTTAGAGTTTCATTACTTTTTATGCTATTTTGATGAATCTTCTCCTGTAAAGAAATCCCCTTTCTCCGTTTGTGCAACTGTTTCTTCTTAAAATGTTGCAAATTTAGAGTAACAATCAAAAGAACGATTCTCGACACTAAAGAAAATGTACACAAAAAACATTTACACACTTAAGTAGTAACGAAGTAACTTCCTTAAAGAAAAAAAAAGTTATTGTTGGTTTCATACAGTCTTCTTGCCAGTATCGGTCAACTGACGAAGAACTAATAGTGGTAAACTTTCTATATGGTTGCGTGTATTACTGTTGGACGTGATGTTAGTTGTTCATTGGTTGTGTATGGCCTTGGTAAGCATTTTCAAGGAATTGCCTTTTCTTTTTTTTTTTTTTTTTTTTCAAGCCGTATGATTTGTGAATGACCAACAGGAAGCTAAAACTAAGGCCTCAGGATAAAAACGAAAGAGATACTTGACTTTCTTTCTAGTTTTTTCTTTTTCTTTTCTTAATTTATTTCCTTTTCTCGTTCTTTCCCTTTCTGTCACATTTTATTTATCTCTCTCCATTTAAAAAAGAAGTTTTTCTTCAGTTCTTTTTTCTATCTTTTTTATTCTTAACACAATTTTTAACGCGTTTGTAAAGCAATCTTGTACGTTTTTCTTTCTTTCTAAAGGCAACACATCAATTCCTCTCTATGAGAGAAGACAACCCCCTCTGTCTGTTTGTCTGTCTGAATCTCTCTCTCTCTCTATCTTTCTCTCTCTCTCTCTCTTTCTCTCTCTCTCTCTCTCTCTCTCTCTCTCTCTCTCGTCTATTTTTCATTTGCGTCCGTTTTCGGCTCCATTCTATCTACTTAAGCCATTGACGTGCATCCTCAATAGACGCAGAAGAGATTCGAGACTTTGGGATGGTGACACTTAAATTACTTATTGTCTTTCTTTCTTTCTTTTGATTTATTCCTTTTACATTTCTTTTTCTTTTTCTCTTTCCCTCGTGGTTTGTATGAATTTGAATACACATATTCGTTATATTTCTTCTTTCTTTTTTGCTTTCTATATACCCAGCTGCCGTTTGTTTTTTTGTTTTTTTGTTTCTTTCTTTCTTATTCATTATTATTGCTTGATTTTTTATTAATTGACAAAGAAGAAATTAGCTGAGTGAACACTTGTGAATATCGCTATCCCATAGTAAACATAATCATTCTTTTTTAATGTCATGTCCCTTCAGAACGTAAGCGATCATGTCTCTTCATATATTACTTTTCTTTATTATCCGTGAATTACCAAGGAGTTTTTACGTTGCTTTCTCGCGTCCTGGGTATGACGATAAAATACATTCAGCAGCAAGGCCACTGATCGGGAGGTTTTGAGTAGCGTGAAAGCGTCTCTTAATTGCTGTTGTTCCCGGGTCCACCCTCATCCGGAGTTGTAGCACCTGTTAGGCAAATAGTTAACACCAAAACTGGGCTCAAAACATTATGAAAGTATAACAATACATTATAGTAAAAATACCAGCAATAAATTTTCATCGTAAAAAATTACCACCAATATATTTAAAAAAAAAAAGATAAAATTTACTACCAGCAATATATTTTTGAAAAAAATATAACCAGAAACACATTTTTGTAAAAGAAATTACTAACGCTACCAAGAAAATGAAATTTTGACATTAAATGACCCATCCTTTCTTTTCTTTTTATGTGCTGTGTCCTTTCAAGGCGTAGGCAATCATGGCTCTCTATTTCCCCGTCTCCCTTATGGCTCTCAATGTTTCGTCCTTGTACCACCTCCAGACCCCGTTCTGCCATCCACTTGCTTAAGCCCGCCCGGTATGTCATGCATTATTTTCCCTTGTCTCGATTTCCATCTCTTTTCTCGGACTAGCAACCCATTCCTCCCCTCTATTCGAGTTAGGGTTGTTTCGTTCGGTGTGGTCCATCTTTCTCCTGCGAGGACTGGTTCGTCTCAGGTGACCCGCTCCTCCACAGCGCCAACACCTTCGCTCATTACAACTTGCCGAAAAGTGTCCGACCTTGCCACACGTCCAGCATCTCAGAGGTCTTACTCGCACTGGGGCCACCCTGTCTCTTACTTTTTCACACGTGACCCATTGGCGTTTCCCGGACCCCTTTCCTTTTTGGGAGGAGGCACCAACGTATTAACTCGCTTTTGCGGTCCCCTTCCATCGTACACCATTGAGCCTTATGCCCGAACTCGCCACAAGTCGTACAGTTCGGCCCCAGAGATCTCGGGTCGCCTCCATAGTTTGTCGGACAGTCGCGGGCCCGATGCCCACTGTATTTGCAAGCCCAACACACCAGCCCATATCGGCTCAGCGTGGGCTTGAAAAACCCATAACGCAAATCCCAGGCCTTACTATTGGGGTCAGCCTCCGCCTCCCAGTCCTCTTCTACCTCCTCCTTCGATTCCCTTATCCGGATCCGCTCCAGATCCTTCTTTTTTATTATTACCTTGGCCCCCTGGTGGCTTCTTCCTATACCGCTTCTTATCCTATCCCAGAGTCGCTCGCTGGCCCGAGCCGCTTCTATGGCTGCGGCCAGGGTGACCAGTCCTCCCTTCAGAACATCGCCCCTCAAGTCCCTGTCGCTTAGTGCATCTACATATACATCGGCTAACAAGGCCTGAATAGGACCGCTGTTCCGAGTCGCCAACTCCGGAAAGGCTAATGCTGCTAGCCCTGCGATCCTTTCTCCCAATTCTTCATTTATCTCTTCTTCTTGTTGCTGCAGCCGGACTAGTTTCCTGACTGCCTCAATGGCTATACACTCACTTGCGTACTGCCGTACCAGAGCGGATTTAAGTTCTGTCCATGTCGCGGCTGGGTTTTCTTTATACCATGCCCCTATAAACTTAGACACCTGTCCCGCTGCGGCGTCATAAGCCAAGAGCACCCTCTCCTGATCTGATAAGCCACAAATCACCTGCTTCTTTTGGATGGAGAGAATCCGTTCATGTAGGTCTGCAGGGTTACCTTTATAAGTGGGTAACTTCATACTACCTATCAGCCTTCTGAAACCTATCGTTATTTCGGGAACCCCCTCGTCTTCAAGGTCGGTTGTGGCGTCTGATCCTGCTACACTCATCCTACCACTTTCCCACGAGAAGAGAGATTAACGACAAACAAGGAAACTATTTAACACGGCGGTGGCGTTTCAACTGCGTACAGAGTCGACAAAAATCAACAATATTACTAGCGGATCTAAGTGCAATGAGTGAGTAGAGGAAACCAAAAAGTGACTTACCTGAGGTCCGCTGCTCCGTGTTTTGTTTCTGTTTTATGCCCCCTTTTTGTTTTTACTAATATCGTCCGCAGACTAAAGTTCTTTCTGGTCTTAGTCGGTCCCAACTAGATGCAAAAAACAAAGTCTGTTTTGCTGGTGTTCACTTCCTTTCTTCCTGAGTATAACTTAAGGCTTGCTTTTCTTCAAAGCTGTTCCTGGCCTTATTTTCCGTGGTAACTCAAGGTCAATCCTGGTCAATGGCAACCAAATCTACCACTCGTCCCTTCAGCCCCTCAACCTCCGGCGTCTTCCTCTTTGGGTTGAGGCGCCCACTCGGTCTGAACCGAACTCAGGGGTAGCTGGCCGCACGCTCCCTGAGTACCCGTAGATTGTTTGACCGGTCACTGACCAAGTTCCGCCTGCTGCCCACGTTGTGTTAGTTTTTAGATCCAGTAAGCGGAGTGTTGTCCATACGTTCACGGTCGATTGGGGATGTAGGCACGGCTGTGAGGGTGGGCGGCAGGAAAATTAGAATGTGGCAGACAAGGAAATAATATCTGCAGAAGCCAAACAACAATGGGTAAAATATTGATGTCTTTTATATAAGAAAACAACAACAGTAGAAAGAGTACAGAAAGGATAGAAAAGCCATTAACATAAGAACAGAGGACCACTCCTCTACCAATTATACCAACAGAGGTGTGTGTGTGATTAACTCGTTCCAAATCAACTTGGGAGGATATGTGACTCGTAATTCCAGCCCTACGTTGAAGTGTAGCTTTTCAGTTGGTTGTCGTAAGTGACAAACGTTAATTTTCAGCGACTTTTCAATGGGACTGCTACAACGACGATGATATTTCTTGAAGTCCTTATCTCTGACTCGCCACTGGACAGACTCACTGCAACGACAGTCTCTCTCTCTCAACGTCACTCTCGTCTAACGCCCAAGTCTCCCCAACTCAGCAAAACTCGCATTTATATAGCAAACCGAAGGTTATAAGCCAGGTTGTTCACGCGCTTAACACGAGTGTCGCCATAAGCAAAGTTTAAATTCAGATCTATTTCAAATCTCTTAGTGGGTAAAATTAATTAGTTCAATGTCCATTTCACTTGTCTTTTCGATGACCAAATTCAGCGGATACAACTTATGTTTAGATCAGATTTCGCTAGCGGTAAACATACACTGATCTTACCTCCCCGGTTCAATTTACTTCAATATGTTTTTATCAAAAATATTATTTTCATCTATTTTTTTTTAATGACCCAAATTAAACATCGCCTCCTGCCCTTTTGCATATGTTTATAAACAAGTCCTCGCCAACCAGATTTGAAATTTATTCTTTATCCATCAGTCGTCGCAGGTTTCATATATCATTGTTCTAGATTCTTTCCTATTAATAGTGCTGACACAGTTTGTAACTTTCACGGAAGATCGTGTTTTCCATCTTCAATCAATAAACGTTATATTTGCGTGTGTGCATTCATGTGCGTCAACCTCTCTCTGTTGCACCTGTCCTATTCAGAATACGGATGATGAGTTTTGTTACGTGGCTCATTAGCCTGGTTTTTCGGTGGAGTTCATATTCGTTTGCACCTGGTTTCTTAGGCAGTGCTATGAAGATAGATCTGCTGATATCTTCCGGTACATCCCTAGTATTGCAGATTTCATTTATTATTTCTGTGATCTTGTCTATGCCAAATTCATCTAAACCTGTCAGCATTTCCGTTACAATTCCGTCCGGCCCTGCGGCCTTGTTTCTGTTCAATTTGACCAGTGCAGCTTCTACTTCAGTTTTCAGAATTTCCGGTCCGTTCGTAGTTCTGTGTATTGCTGTTTGCTTTCTTTCGTCGTGGCAGAGTTCTCCAATATACTCGCTCCAGTTTTGAAGAATTTTTCCTTCTCTAATATGAGTATTCCATCCTTTGATTTTAAACAGCCTGTTGACGAGCATGTCTTCTGTCCTGTTAGCTGCCTTATTTTTTTGTGCATAACTCCTTTGTTGATGGTACCCAATTTCTCTATTTTTGCACATTTTTTGTAGCCACTCTTCTTTAGCCTGCCCGCATTTGGTCCTTATTTCATTAAAAAAAAAGTCATATACTTGTGTTCATAGCTTCAAGTGTTATGGCAATATTTTTATGTGTCGTATCCCTTCGGGGCGTGAGCGATCATAGCTCGACACAATTTGTGTTTCTTTCTTCTCTGGGAATTGCCATGACTTTCCCATATGAATTAGCTTTGTTAAGGCGTCAACAATGAAAGTCTAACTCCCGGAATATGGGTACAAGTCCTATCGACGGATATTTCTTTATTTTGTCATGATGCTACATTTACCGTTGAATAACCTTCGATCGTGATAGTTGTGATGAAAAGTAAAAATAAGATGAAGAAAAGCCTACTTAGAATATTGATAATGAAAAGACATCATCTAAGAATTCAAAGAAACTGAGATTATTATTATTATTAAGAAGTATAAACAAAGAATATGGCGTAAAAATTGAAACAGAAAAGTGGCAATATAACTGCAGGTTTGTTATATTATCGAATGTTATACACGTAACTAAGTAACCTATTTACAGTAAAAAGTAAATCTAAACATTTTTCCGTGGACATGAAGTGGAGTGATTATATTAAATCAATTGCTAGGTCTGCTGCTAGGAAAGTTGGTTCACTGTGTCATGCTAGACAATTTTTCTCACTAGAATCTATCTGGCACATTCATAAGTCTACCATTCGTCCATGCATTGAATATTGGTGCTTCTACTATATATCTAGAGTGACTTGATAAATTCTAAATAAGAATTTCCAATGATATCAGTCCTGACCTGGCATCTCGGCTTCAGTCACTTTCCCACTGCCGTAGCGTAGCTTTATCGTCCCTTTCCTGTAAATATTTTCATGGTAATTGTTCTGGTGAGCTTTTCTCTTTGATACCTCGACTTTACGAATTTAAGCGCAGTACTTGATGGGCAGCTAGGTCTCATCATTTTACACTTGAAATTGCTGGATGTTCTATGCTAGTAATTTTTGTATATTCTATGCTACTATTTTTTTCTCTCGCACTTCTCACATGTGAAACTCTCTCGCAGTCTCTCGCTTTTCAGTCAACTTTGATCTTCAAAAATTTAAAGGCAATGTTAATCGTTATCTTCTTAATAACTGTTCTTGAATTGTTCTCTCTTGTTAATAACGTTTTTCTTTTTCCCATATTCTCTCACGCATGCGTCTCAGTGGATTGCCTTTCTTGTAGTGAAATTATTAAAAATACAGTAATTTTCAATATGTGCTTTGATATAATCAGATCATACTGGTAGAGGTCTCGTATAAATTTGAGACAGTGTGTCAAAGTTAAGACATTGGTTTTCAGCATTTTAGTTTAGTATTAGGTCGAAATGGAAAGTGGAAAATTAAGCTAGTTTTCAAATGAGGAATCTTTGATATGAAGTCGTAAATCCCATCTCAAATACGCCGCTATATCATTGATGAGTAACTTTAAGAAAGCGTAGGAATCCTTCTACTCGTTTTTTCGTTGAATATTAAAATTTGGAGTGTCGGGATTCAATGCATTAATAAGATATCGTTACAAGGTCGCTCGTAATTTGGCCGTCTAGAATAATCAAACGCTTTTCATTGAAGGAATAAAATTCAGTAGAAAAGACGACATAGTTTCAACAAATAAACATTGAATACAAAAAGTTGATAATAGATTGGAAAGTAATGTCTTTTGTTTGGGTTGATAAAGTTCTGAAATAAAATATAAACTGTCTTTGTGTACGCGTGTGAGAAACAATAAAATGTTGTGATATGTGTGTTTGTATGAAAAAGTCAACATGTGTGTGC